TAAAAATACTGAGCTTCAGAGGATAGGATCTATACATTGACCCGTGCCACTAGTTTGTTATGTGATAATGGTTAAAACATGTAAATTAGACATGTACATCTCTCTGTGAATTTCAGGCTACCTGAAACAAATGGATTTTGTTTTGCACACTTTCTACTGTGCTTGTTTATGTTTATGAATTCCCAAATGTTTCTTTTAAAGCTGTGACCAGAATTAGCATCATAAATGATCAGGAGAAAAATGCAGAAATGCATCTGAGGAATACTATAGTACTGGCAGGTGACCACTTGTGGAGACAAACTTGTAAACTGCACAAACTGAAAATTGTGTTGTTTCAGTCCTAGGTGATGTTTAATAGTATTTTACTGTGGAAGTAACAAACCTGCTTCCAGATTCTTGGAAAACACCGTTTTTGCAAAACAGTGTTTTATGAAGAAGAGGCTAGAAATGGCTGGTAATGGAGAGGAGTTTATGTAGCCATTAATTTTCTTTGCCCCCATGTTGACCAGACTATTGTATTTTTAAAAGCTTCAGAAATTTCATTTTATTGAAAGGACCACTGATTACTCCCATTAGCTGAAGTTGTGTATGTGTCTATAAATACATATGTGTGTGTAAATATACATGAAGTATATACATAAAATGTATAGATAGGATGTGAGGGAGATGGGCCAATTTTGCAGGTACGGCACATGTTTTCTAAAGACTTCTTTTGTTGCATTTGAGTGACAGGGGTGAATTCTGTCAGAAATTATTAATGGCATCTATTGGAACAGCCTTGTAGCTATTGCGGAAAGCTTGCTGCAGAATGAGCTCAGTCAGCTGCTTGAGCTATTCCTTCTGTATTTCTTACGAGATTATATAAAAGGTAAGTTACAATTCAACATATAGTTTGTGTATTTTTAAGTTTTGAGCTTAATGTAGTACGTGTTTCATAAAGGGTATGTTGTTGCCTTCTGCTGTTGACTCACAATGTGAGGAAGTAAATGACAAAATATGTGAGAGAAGAAATTCCACATGATTTTATTAGCATCCGCCCTATCAATGAGACCTCTGAGAGGAGGTTTTTAATCTAGAATAGAGAAGAATTCTGTTGGTTTCTTTGTTCAAGAAGATATCTTGGAGAACTGTTTTCAAGTAGCCGATCAAAGAGTAGGTCAACAGCAAAAAGAATTCTGACAGTCAAGGAGGTGTCATCAGAAAGAAGAAACAGGATCCTCTGCCTTTCAGTTTTTGCTGGTTGATCAAGAGCGGGTAGTGAGAAAATCATTGACAGGTCTCTTAACTGTAGTGAGAGGGAATTATCTTTTGAACTTTTGTTCAAAGAAGGAACAGGAAATGTGGAAGGAGCTGTTGAAAGTTTTGCAATTGCTTTTCCAGTGCACTTCAGGATCTTGATAGAAGTATTGATGAGACCTGTTTAGTAGGACAGTAATTTTATGCCTGCATCATGAGAGACTCCTTCTTCTTGTGGTCACAATTTTAGTTTTCATTTTTTTACTTTGCAACTTCTAAAAAAATATGATCTCCTAGCCTCTTTTCATCTGCAGAATATTGGAAATTTCATGGGATGCTGTAAATAGGATGGCATGGATTTTAGCTTTCTTTCTCCTATTATAGATATCTAGATTGCATAAACAGTGTAGTTTTCAACTACTGTCCGTATCCTTCTCATTTTGTTGTGTGTGGTGAATTTTCTGGGCACATTTGTAGATTCTTCAGTGCTTTTTCATCATGACATTGAGTCAGCCTAAACAAAAATAAAAGCAAATAAGCATCCTGAATTTATTATCTTCTTGATGCTGAAAAGTTGTTCAAATATGCGCTTAGCCCCTTCTTCTCTTCATTTGGGGAGAGCCATTCCAAATAAAAACCAGAAGTTGCCTTGGAGGTAAATTGCTGCACTGACCACAGTTTACTTTAAAGAAATGGAAAAGAACAGGTAGGTGACCTGGTAGTGCATTCTTTGCCAATTGTACATTTTTAAGTGTTTTGTACAGTCCACGGTATGCCAAAAAGTAATGCTTCACTGCTTGCTTTGGCAAACTTTCCACAGTCTGTTTTATTCTTTTCCTAATATTCCGTTTGTACTTTCCTTACTATAATGTTAGACTAATAGAATAAAGTTAATCTAATTTAATGTAGCTCAAGCTATACAAATCTGATTATCTGCCATAGACACCCACATAATTAATGCTCTTAAATAAAACTTTTAATATTTCATGAGCACCTTTTGTGTAAAATTTTGTAGAACATTTATTTAGCGGCTTACTTTTCAGTACCATGAATTTTTTAGGTGAGTCTAATACTAGTATTCCCTTTTGATCTGGCCACTATTTTCTAGTAGCTGTTTAATATTACTGCTGCTGTTGCTAGTTCCTGTGTTGCTGTTATGATGAAATTCTTAAAAGGTGACTGTAGCAGCGGTAACATTTCAATCTTCTCTGTCTATCAAAAAATCCTGTCAAACTGACAAGAGCAGTGCTAACATATTATTGTTCTGATGAGTTCATACCAAGTGTAGTTCTGCCCTATGCTTTTATGGTATTTCATATAATTATTATAATAATTTCATATAATTAAGATTACTTCATAGACACAAACTGATAGAATCGATATTAACTAATGCTGGAGATAGGTAGATAAGAAGTGACAGATTGATATTGCCTGATGTTAACTGGAAGTTTCATTTTTTTCAGCCAAGTGCTTATGCTTTTTACTATTATTGTATCTGAAAAGGATTAAACAATGCTACAAAAAGTTACTAATGTGATTACATTGGCATTGCATCCCTTGGAAATTGTACAGCGGGCTGTAGGATGTTCTTCAGTTCTGGACGTAGCAATCCTCTAACTTTGTATTCCTGCCCCTCCTTGTTTCACTCTCGCTTCTCCCCACCCCTCAAGAGCTGCTGTGGGCTGTGTTACAGAATGCTTTACTATCTTCAGTGCGGGGATGGAATCGTGCTTTGAATCTGTTACAGAAAGCCTAAGACAACCTTTTGCAAAGTGACACTTTCTACCTATTATATTGATTCAAAAGAGTTCAAAGATGCAAAATACATGGAGAACATCGGAAACAAGAGCGTTCTCTCAAATAGTGGGGGCATAACTGGAATATCTGAATTTCCCAGAAATACTGTTTAATCGCAAGTGAAAGATAGACTTGGAAGAATCACGGCATCAGAAGTGATTTTTATCTTGTTTTTATAATAAAAATGGTCCAGCTTTAATATAGCAGGTTTAATAGAACAGTGCCCTATAGATATTACTTAAGATCTTACAGTGTTCCTTTGATGTTGTTTGACTGCCCTCTTCAGGAGGACACTGCATATGTTAGTCTGCTTAATGTTAGCATCTGTTTCTAGAAATAACCAATCTAATGCCTAAATCACTTTTTTTTTTTTTTAATAATTGCAAACTTTGCCCATTGAATAATTGTGTTAAGTAGCAAATTTTAGTCAGTTAGTAAGGGTGAAAGTTGAATTTTGTTGTGCTTCATAAGATTTTGGTTTTTGGGGGACTAACAATTGATAAAGTTTCATTTTAACTTCTTTATTTTATGACAGATTTCTTTCGTGTGCAATATACTCCTTGATATGACACAACTCTGCTGGAGTTCTATGCAATATAGATCATGCCTAAGGCTGATCTCAGTTACGAGGACATGGAGAGGGTCTTATGACAGCTGTGGCTCCATAATCCTCTTCCCTCCTTTGCTCTCAAAATCCAATATGTATGTTGTCTGTTTAGTGCAGAGCTCCTCTTGCAACAAAAAGATTTTTGCATCTGCAGCTTTTAAATAAAGAGCATTCTGCACCATCAAACATGTAGAACTGGTTTTATAGAAACACTGTTTTGAGAAAAGCTGTAAAACACATGTATTTATACTATTTCTGCATGTTCCCACACGCAAAGCTAAGTTGCCAAGTGGTAGAACCTTGATTTGACCTCTACAACAGATACGATTAATTAGTAATATGGAAATAATTAGCAAAGGAGCCTGTGTGAAGCCAAAAGTACTGCAAGGATCCTTTCAGGTGTTTTGTCCTCTTCTTTTTTTTTTTTTTTTTTCTTTTTTTTTTTTTTTTCCCCTCCTGAATTATTCATTGATATGGATTTGTCCTGTGGAAAAACCTGTGGGTTTTATGGTTCTGTGATTGTGTCTTTAGAGACCATCTCTTCTGGTAAGGTTCCCAGAATTCTTCTCCTGGAATTACGTTTTTCCTTTCAGTGCAGACAGGGCAAAGGTGTTTGTTTTCCTCTTAAAATGAAGGAATGAACAAACAAAACCCAACCAACCAGAAAACCCTCACCGGAAGGTACAGCCGTGAGTAAAGCCAAGAGGAGACTTTCTGACAAATTTGAGTAGTAACAATATGACTTTCTAGTGACAACAGAAAAGATTATTTACCCAATACATTGTGCAAAATTATCCTTTCTCAATTTTAAAACATGTTTTATGAAGTAATCTCGAGTGTATTATGCTACTTACAAAGCTACTGTTCTATTAGTTAGTAACATTTCCCCAGGGCTTAGCAGTTTCCATGGCTCTTTCCATGGCTCTGCTCTTTTAGGAAGATGACTACTGTTGCATTCCTGTGTTAGTTTTCCCCTACTTTCAGAATTCCTTATGCGCAGCTGTCTTCAGGCAGTAAATCCTGACACCGTACTCAAGGGCCACGTAAGCATCTCCTTGCACAGACCTGTTAGCAGATTTGTATGACACTGGCCACTCCTGGTTTCTGAGGCTTAAATATGGAAAACGTTACTTTTTGTTAACAGCACCTTGCGACATCTCTGGTATAGTTTGAGTTAACACATTTTTAATTTTGGAGAAGGCAAGTTTGAAGCAAGGAGCTGCATAACTAGCTGAAACATTTTTAACTGATAATATGGGTGTTGAGAATCATACTGCAAGTGCAATTCATCTAACCTCTGCAACTGGTTATAGAATCTTTTTTTGCCAGCGAATGGACGTTTGTTTCTTTTCCTTGACAGGCAAGCTAATGAAGAATATCAAGTGCTGGCTAATTCATGGCGCTATTCATCTGCTTTTTCAAACAAACTGTTTTTCACAATAGTGGATTATGATGAAGGGGCAGATGTTTTTCAACAGGTAAATGTTGGATACTGTAAAACATTCTTAATTTTTAGAACTAAATGTTGATTTGCCAAACGATACCAGACAAATGATTTTCTGTGTGTAGATGTGTACCTCTGTGATTTGTATACAAATTTTACCTGGTTAAAAACACCAGGCGCTGTGGTTTCTATGACATTAGTGAAGACAGATTATACAAATAGCCACTTCTAGTATTTTCTAAGTATAGTTTATCATGTTTAGTTATAGATGACATGATATGTATGCGATTTTTTTCAACCTATTGTTAATGTCATTTTTTAGAACTAAGTACGATGCAACTAACATTTGCATTTAAAGATTTCCTGTATTTTATCTCTAAGGGGAAAAAAGCTCTTAACTAAAAGAGCCTTTTAATTTCTTTTATATAATAAAATATTCTTCAACTCCAGTAATATTTGTATTTGTCTGGAAGCTCTTCAGGGAAAAGAGAAGACTTTTACGTAGTGGCTGAGTGAAAAATCAATTGTTGGAGAACAGTCCAAGGCTCCCTCTTGGATTGAGTGGTCAAGGCAAAATACATCCCTTGAAAATTAATACTGACGTGCTTTTCTCTAATATTTGTCTATTGATTGAAGCAAAAAATGCAGATTAAAAGGAGTGACAAGTTTTGAAGTTCTTTGTATTTTTAACCACCTTTTGGTGAAATGTGTGGTTTAAAATTTTCAGGAAAAAGGTTTAACATTTATTTTAAAAACACTTAATTTAAAAAGTTTAATTACAGTGTTTAGTAGATATTTTTGCTTCCAATTGACACCTTAGAATGTATTGTGTAAAGAACGGTTATTAATGGTTTAAGATTTTGCTTTAAAATTTTTAGTTCAAATAAGCTTTAAAATCATCTTATGTTATCCTACATGGTTGCAATAATATAAACTATGTTGTTTGATCTTGCCTTAAGCCAATCAATACCTATTAGAATAGTCTAGTCCAACTTGTTCCTTGGGTAAAATGGCACAGATTTGGTTTATTTCAGGTTGTATGCATGTAAAGTCACGTAAAAGACCAAAATAGATGAAAATATGTAAGTTTTTGACTATCTTGGAGAAACACAGTGTTAAGAATAAGTGATACTAATGACCATTTGAAGATGGATTTGAGGGAAATGTAGTTCTGACCTTCTGTTTACGTGTGCAAAAAAAGTTATGTAGTACTGATGCCATAGCAAAAAAAAGACACCACCCCAAAAAAGTAACTTGACTTCAATCTTTCAGCTTTCACTCTGTTTGTAGAGAAATGACAAAGTAGTTGCAGACCAACTGCCCCCAAACTCTATACGATGTCAGAAGGTTTCTGCATCTCAAAGGTTTCTGTATCTTACAAAATATTTTATTAAACTATTTCACAACATTTGTCTTTGCCTTTCTCAGAATATTATTTTATTTCCAAATCAGCTCACTAAAGAACAGAGCTATTTTTTTGTGTAGATGGAAAATATTTTCATAGCTGGTGATTTCTATTGATAAGTTCAGTTCTGTACTTTAAATATTATGTTTTGGTAATGTAATAAAACTCATTTGGCAGGAATGAAACAAGTTTACTCTGCATTTGTTATTTGGAGATCTCCATATTGCATAATCTCTAAGTATTTCCCCTGATTTTGTTTATGTTCATTTTCATTTTTTCCAAGTGTTTTATTGCACTATTTCTGAGATGGACTGAATATGGAGGAATTTTATATAGTAAAATGATATCCTCCTATACCACCTTGCAAAGGTGAAGTCAAAATTTAAAGTGGCAAATGTAAATGTAAATCTATTTGTTTACCACCCTTGACTTTTTTGATATACTGTGAATAGTTCCAGTGGCACCAAGACATGCATTAACAGTCATGTAATTTCCAGGGCAAGTTGTGTAGTCTAAGCTAATTATTTAGGGATTTCTGGATTCAAAAAAAAAGTCTGGTCGCTAGTGGATAGTCTGTCCTGAAGCCAGTGGAAGGCTAGATGAATAGTTTAGTTAACTATGGCTTGGTGAGAGCTAGGCAAGAGAAACAACATCAAGCTGTTTGAACACTTCTTCTCCCCCAGAATGATTACCTAATATACTTTAATAGGTTGGATGGGTGTAGGGGTCTCTGTTTCACTAATTACAGGGAAGTTCTTCCAGCGTGTGAGAACTTGAAAGCGTAAGATAGCTTCCTCAGAAAAGCTTGTGGGTGAAATACTCTGATTAATTAAACATCCCAAAGAATCTACGGGAAGGAATACCCTGACCACTCTTTTTGCACTCTTCTTATACATGAAGATGTATAAGAGTAACATATGGAGGCAAATAATATTTTTAATGCTAGTTAGATTTGTGTTGTCTTATACACAAAGGGTAAACATTTTTGAGGATATAGTTACTAATTTTTTTTCTTCTATTTCTCCTGGTTTTATAGCTGAATATGAACTCTGCCCCGACTTTCATGCATTTTCCTCCAAAAGGTAAACCCAAGAGAGCTGATACATTTGACCTGCAGAGAATCGGATTTGCAGCTGAGCAGCTAGCTAAATGGATAGCTGACAGAACAGATGTTCATGTAAGTCTTTCGACAATTTTAAAAGTTGAAGCCAAATGTATCTTTGTCGTCTGAGACAGCCTGATGACAAATTCTGTCTTTCCTTAATACTTCTTCTTTCCTCATGTGTAGGTTCTAGAACACGTTAAAAAAAAAAATAAAAAAAAAAAAGAAATATAGTCATGATGCTTGTGGTAACTTCTGCAGTTTGCAGGTTATACTCCGTTCTTACTCTGTTATATTTTATGTACTCTTATTCTGGATGAAAACAAGCAGTCATATTGTGATAATTAGTTGTTAATGAGTAAAATGTGCTTTGGAAAACTATATACAGAACAGATAGATCCAAAGCAGCTGCTCCTGACATGACCAGCAAATCTGTTGAAGAAATACTGTTTTGGAGCTGAACAGTTAAAAATGATGCTTAAAACTTTTTTCACATTATGTGCTTCTTAAAGGACGTAACATTTTTTCTTATTTAAGTATACCTTTAGGGATTAGTCTTTCTGCCATGAAAACAGATTTCACATGCTCCCTGTTTGTTTATATGGTAGGTGATCTGTGTGTATGCATTTATTTCTGATATGTATTTGCATTTGTCTTTTCCAGATTAGAGTGTTCAGACCTCCTAACTATTCTGGTACAATTGCACTGGCTCTTCTGGTGTCTCTTGTTGGTGGCTTGTTATATCTGCGAAGAAATAACTTAGAGTTCATCTACAACAAAACTGGCTGGGCCATGGCAGCTCTGGTACGCAGATTTTCCTTACTAATATGCTTTTTATTAGTTTCTTATCTTAGCAAATGTGACTTCATTACTTGCATAGTAAATTAAAAACCATTGCATTAATACATTGTTCGGAACAGTACTATCAGACAAAGATTAATAATCTAGATTTTGGGGCTCATTCTCATAAGCAGTGTGTATCAGTTACTATGAGTGATTCACTGAAAATTAGCAAATTCTCTGCTGGTTAGCTGCAGATTTTTGTTTGAACTTTAACAAGAAAATATTTCCAATAAAGTGTTACTAATGTTCCCTGCTGTCATTCAACTTTCAACTTTTCTGTATATGCGGTAATGTTATCATTAGTTTAGTGTGGATATTAATGTCAGACTGTATCGCTTTAGAGTAATGAAAGGTTAAGAAAAGTAACAGAAGCTTTTATATGTTTGTAAGAAAATGATAAAAGAACTAAGAAACATAGAAAAAGGTGGAATTCTTTCAAAAACTGTTTTCAGTAGTACTGACCTTAACATTCCACTATTAACCTAAATGAGAACAGGATGATCTTATAGGAACTCTGAGGAAATTCTAAAACTAGCCAATAGTCTGAAATATTAGTCACCTAAACCCTCACGGCCATAAATAATGATTTAAGGTTTAATATGCTTAACTATGTATTGCAATGTGTTTGTTTATATCATGGTTTTCAAATAACTGAGTAGACTGATGAAAAATATGGGCTGTGCCCCATAGTCAGCTGTCTCAGTCTTAGATAGGAAATAGCATGCAAGGATGGTAGATGACGGTTAAGGTGTATCAATTAGTGTTCGTTACTCTGCCATCATTGTGACTGACAGAAGAGGAAAAATCTGAGAAGAGGCATCAAAGGCTTAATTTTCAGGGACATGGAGTCTAGGTTTATCAAGTACAATCCAACATTTTACAGCTTAATAGAGCTCCTTCCTTCTGTATTAACAATATACTAATTGGGAACAGTGCTTTTAAAAAAATTATCCATGTATTTTGTACAACATAAGCCAAGCTTTTCTTCTTTTTCCATGTAAATGGTTATCTATTCGCTTCATCATTTTGAAGACTTTTTCTCAGCTTGCGCCAATCTGAATGAACCTTTCTTGAAAGCATACGACTAGGATTGTAGATGGAATATGAGTTTACTTGTGCAGCAGCTTTCATATTTCATTTCTCATCTAGGCTCTCTTTCCCATGAAAGCCTGGACCAGGTGGTCTTTTGAGGTCCCTTCCAACCTGGGTTATTCTATGATTCTGTCTATTTTAGCTCTACTGGAAGTAGGTTACTGATATATCCTATAATTGGTTTTGCCTTTTCAAAGACACGTCGTGTTGATGTTTTGCTGTTTTTCTCCAATTCAACAATATCAGAAGATACCTTCTTTTCTGACACTTTTAGCTGATGGGCTCGTTGGCAGCCTTTATTAAATGAGTTCAAAGATGAAGTTCCCTAGTACCCATTGGTCTCTAGTTCATTTTTATATCTAAATGATTAACAAGATCTTAAAGCAAGCTCTTTGTTCAGAGTTCCTTAATATTTGGCATTACTCTTGAATAACGGCTACTGATAATGCTGTTTCTCTCCTGTGCTATCATAGCATTTCCTGCTAGTGTACATGGCATACATTCTTTGTTTAAGCGGTTTGTTAGTCTACCCTGTACATTGAGGAAGGCATAAAGAACAAGATTTCGAATAAACCACCAACAGGACAAGATTTCAAGTAGAATGATGTTTCCTTTTGATCCAGAGAGCCAGGGGCAGAATGTCTTCTTTGTTCCAGGGTGTCATTGGAGTATCCTGAGCTCTAGCACAGAGTTTTGACAGTTCCCTTCCCAAATAAGTCTGTCATATTTAGTTCCATATATTTTTCTAGATTACCAGTATTTTTCAATGATAATACTTTTTAAAGATACACTGCCACTAGAAAGTTTGATATGTATCAGCCTAACATTTTTGGACTCGTAATCTCTAGAGATCACCTCAGTAAAACAATAATTAGCACACCAAATTACATGTTTGTGTCAAAAATCAAATAAAGATATGTAATCAGTGGTCTTTCCTTTGTTTAACCGTGCAGTGTGTCTCTGGAGACAGCAATTTTATTCCAGTTTCATACTTTAGGTTTTCAGATCAGAAGTTTAATGTTTGAATGTTTGGGACAATTGTGTGCTTTGTCTTGCAGGGGTTAAAAATCAGTTCTTCGAACCAAGAATCATTTTGTTACAATCTGTATTCAAAAAATATTTGAAGATATACTTAACTTCCTAATTAAATTAAGAAAATTAAAACATCAATTCTTAAAATATTTGCTGTTCTCCTTAGCAGGAGCTGGACATTTTACATCTGAATGTAACTTATAATCACATTCAACTGAACTCCAGTGGACAGGGTCAATGTCCAAATGTGGACATGTGATCAAACATTTCAAGAAATAGTATTAATGCCGTTCAGTAATTGTCATCATCTTGATTGTATTGACAAGAAATAATAGAGTTTAAAGGAATTAAGATGGCATTAATGCCATTTATTGTTATTGCTAATACCATTTCCTGTAAAATTCTGTTTACTTTAAAAATGAATAGCACTTAGAGGATGTTTTAGAAAAGGTCTTATATCTGAAATTGTATAGCAATTAATCATGGCGTTGAGGCGATGCTTCGAGTTTTCAATTGTTACTGTTCTTTTGCCTTCACAATGTTGTGAAAGCCCCGTAATGCAAAATGATGTTTTAGCAGAGGTCATGCAGTTACCACAAGTCATTTCGGTTTTATTCAGACCTACATGAACATGCAAGTTAATGTTATAAGTTCCTTCTGGTGGAATCAGCAGGGGCTCCAGATTGCAGACTTTTGCACAGATGACCTCAGTTCTGTAAAATGACTAGAATATGTCAAGATCCGTAGAAGAAAATGGGCAGTCATTAATGTATTCATTCTAAGGTATTGTGTAGTTATGATTCTCTTACATGGTGCTTTTTTCTACCAGTAAAACTTAGAACTTCTTTTTTCATAAAAGCTCATTGAAGGAAAAATGGAGAACATGGTATCTAGTTAAGGGGAGCGAGTCATGCCTAATAAAATGATTTTATGAGGGGTATAAATAACTGATAAATACTTAATTTTAAAGAATTATATTCCTCAGGAATATTTTTTCCTTTTTGAACTTGAAAAAACAAATTAAACAGGGAAAGCCTGACAAGATGCATAAAAAATACTGGAAGCCCAAGTTTTTGACAAGAGTATTGGAAATTACTTTGTTCCTTATTGATGTTTTTTACAGGTGTTGCAGGACTGAGAAAGCACAGGAGCTTTTTTTCTAAAAGCTTTAGTTTTGGGCTTTCATTGTTTTGGGGGGAAGTGTTGTACTGTTAGGTAGCCAGTATTCATTAACTATATGGAAAATATTATGTTTAATTTCAACTGAAATTCTTTCATAGATATCCTGGAATTCAGTAACTGAAAACTGTATCATTGCAATCAGACAAATCTCTTGTTTTCTTTTCCTTGGTTTTTTTAGAGCTTCGTTGTTCTGAAGAGCTATTATGTTCCCAAATGTTGGATCCTTTTTATTTAAAGGAAAACCGGGCAGTGCCTCTCTGCCTGATTGAATGATCTGTTCGTAAAAATTAGAAAAAAATTGTCCACATAAAGTGCCTCTGCTGGTTTTACTGGCAGGAGAACAGAGGATCCCAGAAATGTCGGCTGAATTTTTAATATCTACATTGATACCAAAAAGTTGTCTCATAGGTAATATTTCCAGCGCTGTTTTAGAAGAGTATTTAGGAATACAATTTTTAGTGATCTATCTAATGGTTTTGATACTTTCAAAAGCAAGACCAGAGCTTTCATCTCACACATTGATTCCAATACCAATTCACACAAGACTGTTGAATTGTTTTTGTCTTCAACATTAGACTGTGCCACAGCAATGCTATTAGTGGTTTCATCCAGTCATTGAAGCACTGCAGTCTGGTAGTATCTTGTAGGTCTTAGGCATTTTTACTTGCAATATTACCCAGAAGACTGTTAGAATGCCAAACCAGGATGACTGAGTCACGGTACATCATATCCCAAAAGATGTCTTTTGAGATCACATCCAAAATTTATCCCCTAGATTATTTTAGACTTTAATTCAAATCCTCCTATTCATCTATGGATATTTTTCCCTCTGACGTGCTAGTACAGAGATAAGGAAGGACTTCAGTCCTTAGATGTTTGCAGAGTCCTGTCCTTTTATACTGATAACAAGAAGCAATTCAGATTCTTGTCAACACTCTTCATTTCTTAAGTAGAGAGAATAAAAGGTCAGATGGTATAAACTGGACAAATTTCTAACATTTTAGATAAGGAATTGCTACATTTTAGACAACAGTACTGGTGCTGAGAGTTTACTTGTTCAGTTGGCTTGAATGTGAGCTACTAGAGGGCTTTTAAAAGCTTTTTCTTTACTAGGCTTTCCACTGTGGGTTTCTGCATGTAATTTTCAGTTTTCTTTTACGTGTATATTTCAGCTTTGCATTTATACATGTGGAATCTGGGAAGGCAAAGTCTGTGCTCAGATTCAAAGGCCTAGGAGTTGACTCTACTGAGCAAAATATGTCAAGTCTCTTGTATGAGGAGACAAAGCATGTGTTTACTGTTGTTGTAACAGTTAATGGTTATGAGAAATGTGTTCTGTGCTGATACACTCCAGAGTACCTATACCGTACAGTACATTCATCATCAGTTATTGCTCCAAAAGAGCTTGAAGGGTATCATGGCTTCTAGTGGCTTCTTTACCCTCTTCTGGGAAGGAGGATAAAAAAAGTAATGTGTCTTATTCAAAGATACAGCTAGACCTAGTCAGACTCTTCTATGTGGGTAGATAAACATCTCAAAAGAACAGCAATAAATGCAGGTTATTAGTTTCCTTTTCTTCCCATCGTTAGAGGTTTTAGAGATGCAGAGTACCTTTTAAAGATACAAAACCCCATTCTCTCTGCTTCTGTGTTGTACTCCCTGTCCTTGAATTGTGTATCTCTTATTGGAAATTCTAGTAAGTGATGAATTGTTATTTAGAAATTGAGTCCAGACCTGCTGCTCCGTAGCCTTTGTTGAGTAAAAAAGCAAAGTTAAACTGGATAGAAAGGATTACATTTCTTTAAAATAATAATTGTGAAATGGCTAAAACTTACATATACAAAACAGTATAGAAATTAAGCACAGAACTGGCTGACTGTGTCTGCCCCCCCCCCCCTTTTTTTTTTTTTGAAAGTGTGCTTGAATTTAACTATATTTGTACATGAATCTAGAATTTCATTACTTTTTCTTATGGTACAAAGTATTTGCCCCGTTCTGGGTTTTAAACTTGCAGAAAGAAATCTTATGATCAGCTTTGTATAGTATCTGCAATTAGGAAGCTTCGCTTCAAATGCGTACAAAATGGCTTTTTAATTCTCCAGTAATTTTGTTTGATAAACTGGCAGATAGCGTTAAACAAAACTTATGCCTGTGAGAAAGTAACGTATTAAACCCAAACCATTTGACAAAGCTTGTAAGACCAAGAACAGTCAAGAAATTCTGCCCATGTAACTGTAAAGTTGTGTCTTGCTCGCAATTCAGTGTTCTGGTGGGGCTCTTGGTGTTTATTTACCTTGAGTCCGTTCTTAGGAGCCTTGTGGTACACCCACCAGTGCACCACGGGTGAGGTCGAAGCAGTCTCCCCCTTAGCGAAACGAAGGCACTGGGAAGACATCAAGAAAGCACCACTTGCAATTTGTTAATAAGGTCCTTGAGCTCTGGTCCTGTCTACACATACAGTGTACTCGCCTAGGATTGGTAAGAGGGGTGAACTTCATTGCCACTGAAGACATCCTATGGACGTTTTGTCCTGGAACCATAATGTGTTGTAGCAAATCATTGTTCCTTCCCTCGCTATACTACACCAGCCAATAATGTAGATTTACTCTGTTTGCTTTTATTATTTGGATGCAGAATAAGCTACCTAAATCTGGAAGCTCTTAAAATAGCTAAACGTTGAACTCCCCTGATAATTCAGGTGGCATGCAGCAGTTAAAGTGGCATTCTTGGAGTCTGACAAGGAGAAAGAAGGGGGCAGGTGGATGAAAGGGGTGTCTGTGGTACTCTTCTCCATAGAACTGCTGAAGTACAGATTCCATTCTGGATAAGTGGAGTTGAAAATCTTTCTAAGTGCTCAGAGAAAACTGCCTCAGCTTGAATCTTCTCCTGTTATCCAGTTTTCATCCTTTGTACTTTGACAAGATCCAAGAAAACTGCAGAAAGGGGCCATTTCTCTGCATATGAATTGTTCCATTGAAACAAATACCATATAAACCCGTAAAGTAAATATGAAGTCATTAATCACATGTTGTAAGCTGCTTATTCGTGGGTGAAGTTTTATCCGGGAAAATTCCAACTCACAGTAATGGTGAGCAAACGAAATATTTTGGAAATTTTGTATCCCAAAGCATGGGATCCTATGGAAACTATGGTGTTTGTAGTTTCCAATGTTTGGGTGTTGGTTTGTGGGTTTTTTTCACCCAGATGACTGTAATAGGGGAATATAAACACAGCAAACTGAGCTTGAATGTCAAGTGCTATCTGTAGTATACCAAATGCTTGCTTAAAGGCTATGATGGAAACGCTCTCTTCTTAGGACTATTAAAATAGATGAAGAGTGGAAGAGGCCAAGGAATAAGCTGGAGAATGTTTTCTGGCTCAGGTCCTTTTGAAATACACAGTAAAGAGGTGTATGATGGGAGGAAATCATGGCAGATCCAGGATGTGGTGTACTAAATTAGTTTTGTTGGTCACTGACAGTCTGAACTGGAAGAATATGAAAGATGCCTTCAGGATAAACAATCATATTGTTAACTCTTTCCTTTTCAATAATATTAATACTTGGAATTTGTTTCTCCCCACTATTGCGCCTCCTGGATATGTTTTTGTTAGACATTACCATGTTGTGAGACAGTATATTTGTATTGGCAAGCATTGAAGATCTACAGTAATTTGAGAGATTTATCTGTTATATGACTGTATATAAATTGAGGTGGGTTTTTTTTAATCGTTCCATATAGAAGCAGATTTCACCCTAGAGAATGTGAATTAAATACAGTAATTTAAGAATTAGTAAAATGACTTTTCATGGAAAACTCACTTTCAGAGAACCACAGTTGGTGCAGTCTATGCATCTGTTCTCTTCTGATGTTTTAATTTTCAGCTGACTTTTGGCCTTTCAAAATATCTTTTACCTCACTTTTGTTACCCACATCTTCAGTTTCTACACTTCTGTACTTTCACATGAGCTCTCTTGTGTGATTCATCACACAAATTGCAGTATAAGTTTCTCTGCAATCTGCAAGGTATAGAAATAACTATCTGTTACCCTTTTCCAGCAATGGAAGCATATATCCTTTTCACTTATTTGCATATTATTAATTAAATTAATTAAAACATAATCCATTTGCTAATAATCACTACCAGTATTCTTTCATCTGCCATATTAATTACTATACTGTTACACTCGAAATCCTGTTAAGGGCAAAATGAAACCTTATATTTAAAGCCAAGGATCTGTTCTTATTGTGATTGAAATCTTAACACTACTACAAAGAATTATTATTAAACTGGATATGAAAATGTATTTTTTATTATTTTCTTTCTCTTTCTAGTACAAGCGCAAAAAGTCTTCCTAATAACAGCACAATTAAAACTGTTATGCACACACTTCCCAGTATGTTTCCCTTTCTCTCATGTTATGGTTACTCTTCCAGTGTTTCTCTCTGGATCTTGAGATCATTCATTGGCTTCGGTTTGGGGCGAGGGGGTGCTGTGGTGGTGAGTTGTCAGCATTCCAGGTTCTTTTCTGGGAGGAGCATGGTGCTGCTGCTTTCTTCCTCCTTGCTCTGGGGTCCACTTGGGACTACTTTTACTCTTTGTCATTCTTTCACTGATCTGCAACTGCATTTTACATCAAAATTTACTGGGTAAATGGGGATTGTCTCACATACATTAGATGCCTGTCCTTTGTTCTCTTTATTATCCCTAAAACTGGTTTTGACCAGCTCCCATGTCTGTGTGTCTTTAATTCACCATTGGTGTCATATTTTTAGGCTTGGGGTCTCCAGTGTAATCCTGTGCCCCCTTTCTTATCATTCCATACTGGTACACTACATCCTGTGTTTCCGCTTTTGTCGTCTCTGCTATCATCCCGTGCCTAAACTACATCATTATGTTGGTCATAATTATTTCATCCTAAATAGAGTAGAAAAAAAAATAAATTATTATGCTGTGCAAAGATGAACAAAAGTAATGTAAACTAGGTGTAGCCACCTGGTTTTTGGAAAAATTGCTGTTTCAGCTAAACAAGTTAAAAAAAGAATCCCAGAAAGCCAAGACAGATTTGGATAAAGCCTGACAAGATTCAGTCCTAAGACATTTCTAAGTTTGTTCAAATCGTATTGCTAGCGTTGGCAATGCTCCATACGTGGGGGTACAGAGCTACACTACCTTACATTTATCTCACACATGTGTTACTTAACGTTCTTTAAAAAAAATACTTTAAAGGGATTTAGTAAACCCTGGTTTAGTTAACCATCATGGTATGAATTTTTACATTTGTGATTCATCTGCTTAAATCATCATTGATTTAATTGATCATTCTATGATGGTCATAGAGTCATCATAGAATGGTTTGGGTTGGAAGGGACCTTATAGATCATCTCCATCCAACCCCCCCTGCCCTGGGCAGGGACACCTCCCACCAGCCCAGGTTGCTCCAAGCCCCATCCAGCCTGACCTTGAACACCTCCAGGGATGGGGCAGCCACAGCTTCTCTGGGCAACCTGGGCCAGTGTCTCACCTCCCTCACAGTGAAGAATTTCTTCCTAACATCTAATCTGAATCTCCCCTCCTTCAGTTTAAAACCATTACCCCTTGTCCTATCACTATGCTCCCTGATGAAGAGTCCTTCCCCATCTTTCCTGTAGGCCCATCACTATGACTGCACTGTGCTGGTGGGAATATTGATGTACACTAAAAATGAATGTATATGTAAAAACTGTAATGAATGTATATGTAAAAACTGTAAAAAAACATTTCAGTTTTTCTCATTTGGTAATCAAAGGATACTATATTTTCATCTTTAAGATCATCAAAATGACTCTTGCTGTGACTATGATATTTGTCACATAGATTCTGCGGTATGACCTTCTGCAAGAATTAATGTCCATTTTTACAGTTTTCATATATCCCTAACCTAACTCGGCACTTCATTCCATAGGGAGTTTCACTTTTCTATCAACTCAACTGTTATTTGTCACAGCTAAAATGAATCAGTCATATAGGACACGCAATGAGAATTTCATAAAATGGGACAGACTTTTTTTAAATAATTGGATTCTTTTTATGGTTTTATGTATCATTTCATACATCTGAAAGCCAACAGTTAAGCTAAATATTTATATTAGATTAGAGACAGAAATAACTTCATGAAATGTTATATAAATCTCAAACACTAGCTTGCAGAATATTTGCAATGAATGCCTTCTACTGCTATCAGTGCTTTTTGCCATATAGGCGTGTAAATGTTGCAATTCCAAGTGCACATACAGACAGGATTATTTCAAGTGAGATTTTGAAAATCTCTGTCTTGAGCTAACTCATTTCTAGCAGAAGTCATTAAGAATTTTATGAGAGTAACACATCTGAAAACCCTATCCTAAAAGTCAAATAGAGGTAGATACTGTATGTGGTTAAGTAAACAATTATGTATCTAAACCAAACATCACCAGCAGAATCGTTTTCTATTCATTTCCTCTGGGTAAATAAAAGTATATTGTTTTTCTATTTTTTTCTAGTGCGTTGTGTTTGCTATGACATCTGGTCAAATGTGGAATCACATCCGTGGACCCCCGTATGCACATAAAAATCCTCAGAATGGTCAAGTGGTGAGTTGATTCTTTTAATTTTATTTCAAGGGGAAATATTATACATAGAGTCACTCCCTACAGTGAGTCTGCTATAGCAAATAATTGCAGTTCTGTAGCACCGTATGACAGTGTGCCAGAGTCATGAGTCTTTAGTTGCAAGCAGAGTCTGTTTTAGTCATTTCAGATTTTGAAAAAGTTCCACCATCTTTGATTTGAGGAATGAAACGAGCGACCATGTTTTTCAAAATTCTCTCCATGCGGTTCCCAGCTGTAGTGAATGTGTTATAAAATGTTCCAGATCACATAAACTCTGCTGTCCAAAGATAAATGGATATGGTGTGGTTTTGTAGAAATATGCTCCCTCACAAGGTGAAAAGCAGGTTTGTTTTTTTTCTCCTTTCCAGGCTCCATTTACACAAACATTAGAGGTGTGTAACCTCTTATCTTACTTTTTCTTGACCATTTTAGTTCCAAAAGGAGATGGAAAATATTTTCATGTGCTTTGTATTTCTCACATGCTTTTTCCCATTGTGCCTGTAACTATTCCACTAAACTTTATGGAATGTGTTTTCCTATATCTTTTTACTCTTCCTATTTAAATTCTTTATCAGCTTTACTAAGAAGTTACCATTAGTTGATTACTGTCAAAATTACTGTTATATCCTGCTACTGCCGTCTTTGAAGGCATTCTCTTACTTTTTCCTTCTTGCTCACAAATTAGCAAGTGTTCATCAGAGTACAGAAGGATAAATTCTCTTTGCCTACTGGGAAGGTAAAGAGTACCTTGGGTAGTTTCTACCACTCTTTGTTGTTTACCACTTTTCAAGCAAGTGGTTGGGATGGCAATTACAAAACTTGCAGTGAACTTAGTGGTCAGGAAGTTTTTTCACGACTAGTGGCTTATCGAGCAATTTTCAATTCTGACTGTCACTGGTTAGAGGAGACTGGCTTATGGCTTAAAGAAAAAAAAATATTCAAAGCTCCCTTTGTGCCATACCTTAACTGAAGGAGCAAAAAAACCCGATGCTTTGAATTTGATTACCAGCTTGCTTTTTATCAGGAATGTAGCAGCATATTGATGCCATAAAATGACGTGATTCCATCTGTCAACTTTGTTGTGCAGAAATAGAACTGATAATGTAATAAATAATCTCTGTAAAACACTGTGTTTATAAAAATTAGAGTTTTTCGTTACTGCCTTGCAGTATTAAATTTATGATGTTTTCCTACAGAGTGACAGAAAGGAGAAAACGGCATAGAAAAAAGCACCGTTTGTGACAAATTAGTCTTTACCATATCCAGTTTTATACACATTGCCCTTCTTAAAGACCTGTGTCTGAAGTACAGACTACATTAAATGATTTAAAAATACCCTTTTAATTGTTCCTGAATTTGTTCCATCTTGTCTTTAGTTTTTAAAGGGTGAACTCCTCGTATCCTATCTGAATGTCTGAAAAGTTACTAGTTTGGGACTGTTAACATAGACAACTAAATAATGAAAATAAGAGTAGAGATGATTTTAAGTTCTAGTTACTAACCTACTGCGTTAGTCAACACACATACCTTCTTTTCTGGTTTTGCTCCATTATGTGATTTCAGGTAAGTTATTTGCTGCCTCTGAGTCACCTGTCTTTCCTTGGTCATATGTGTCAGTACTTACACCCCCTTGGAGCTATGTCTGTGTCAGTAAGTAAAACCAGTTAGATTCTAAGAAGTAAAGAAGTATAGGTGCAGGATCACCAAGTTCCTGATTTATTTAGAGTATCACTGACCACTATAGTTGTAATGCAAAGCTCTGGTTTTCACCAGTGTTAGAAGCTTAGTAAGGATTCTGTAAAACTTTACCTATTTTACTTCACTTTTTTTTTTTTTCTTTTTTCCTTCAAGTAACACTATTGAATATTTTCCTGTTTCCTTTTTCTGGCACTTATCTATGTTCCTGTGAATTTGAAGTCATAAAAGTGCTTATCTAACACTTCTGTTAGATTTATTCAACCATGATAATTCACTGTAACATGATCCTGCATTAAGTTAGCAACTGCTGTCTTTACATCTGGATGAAAAATTTAACTCATCACTTTCTTTCCAATGTCTAGGATTTAGTACCAATTCCAAATTTTGTACAATGATTACTTGCATGTAATACTTTGAAATGTTGTTAACAGTCTTACCATGTAAAATTCTGTTTTTAAGAAGATGCATAGAATAGCTCACCAAGCTTAATTGTTTAATTGTTAGGTTCAAATTTACTAATGTTTAGCTTTTCTTATTTAATAGGAGTTAGTGGTTCAGTTCTGTACTAGCTGTAGAGTTTTGGTGCATCTATCAACAATAGTCATAATCATGGTGCTATTGAAAATACTTGTTAATATTTTATTGGACTAGCCAATTATTTATATTAATATGCTTGATAGAAGTGAGAAGTCGGTTATTTAGTTTATGAGTGTATTTAATGAAACGGCTTTCCTGTGGTCATCAAAGCAGTGAGTCTACTCAGAAGCTGCAACTAGTAAAGGGTTTCTCAAGCCTTTAAACTAAACGTCTGTCTTGATTTAGTCAAAAACCCTAACAATTGGCAGTGTGAGATGTAGAACTAGTATGAAACAGTCTTAATTCTATTAACAGACCAGCACGTTAACAAATGGGCAACATTGTATCTAAACTAGTGTTGGGAAAACTATTAACCTGTATAAGACATCAGTGCTAATTTTTGAGATTGCAACAGTGATCGTAGTTGGTATTTCCATAACTTTCTGTATAACACATGTTTCTACCTTGATATCAGAAAAAGGAACCCTTTACACAATATTTTGTACCCTTTTTTATTGTGGGAAGAAAAGGAGGTAGGAAAATGGTCATGAAAAAAGGCTTGCTCAGATGAGGCATTAGAACCTCTAAATTCTTAAGATAGTGAATTCTTGAAGCATACAAGCTGTAAAAGCTCAGGTGGTACCATTGTTTTGCAAGTAGTGTAGTTTTGGCTGAGTAAAGATGGAACATGTTCCTATTACCTAAAACCAGATTATAGACAAATAATCAGGCAGCAAGTAGTCTGTCATGATAAAATCCAATAAAATATAAGAAGGTATAGATTTTAATTGCTGCCTGTAACAACAGAAATCCAATTTTAATTGACGGATACCACTTTCAGCAAACACACGCTCCTCCTTTCCCCCCTCCCCCGTCCACCTTTGGCTAAGCAGAGATGGGCTCCCAGAAGAAATTTAGCTTCATTTGAAAGAACGACTGTTCTGTACAGAACAGCTCTTTTTATGTCAGAAGTCAGGGACACCTCAAATATGTGAAGTCATGAAGTACCTGAAGATAGATTCATAATGCAATACAGAAAAATAGACATTTTTTTAAAGACAAAACCCGAGAATGACACAAAGGAAAACACTCTTTATGTTGTTCTGTTACCACTAGAAGAAGAGCCATTTTCTTAAACCCAGCTTGAGTGCCAGGTGGGAATCGAGTTTTTCTGTCTTCCGGGACTTTACTAGTTGTGTAGATGTTAAAAGATAAGAGTCTTTTCTAGTAAAATGATTTTGATTGGAAGGTACCTCTGAAGATCGTCTAGTCCAGCTGCTTGCTCAAAGCTGGTCAGGTTGCTCAGGACTTTGTCTAAGCGAATTTTGAATGTCTCCATGGTTAGAGATTCCCCAACCTGTTCCTGTGTTTGACCATCCACGTCATTCTTTTAATTTTACCTTTTAATTTATTTTTGTCTCTTTTTTTATTCCTTTCAAGAACAGTCTAGGTAAATTTTATCCTTCTCTTCAGTTACAGGTGAATTAACTGAGTTCTTAAGTAGTATTTAACACTGACTTTAATAAAACTAGGCTTAGCCCAGCAGTATACCATTTCAGAGCTCCTGACTGCGTACCTTTGCTTAAGTGGCAGTAGCACTATTACGGTACCACTGCAATATCGGCGCTGGAAATGAGAAAACATTGAGCCTGGAGTAGTCACGGCGATTTTTCTCTGTATAGATTCTGTTCTCTGTATAGAGCTGTGCAGACAGTCTTCCAGTACCTACTGAACAACTTAAGCATGTTTATTTTCTTCTAAAATCTTGCATGTTTTCAACCATTTTGAGACTGGGGGAGAACAGAGGAAAGAACTTTACCATATTTTCCCTATTCCACAGCACAGTCTTTCACTACTTTAGATGGATTATTTTGTGAATCTTTCCTCTTCCCCGCAGAAAGACAATCTATAGTACCAGATTGCAGATGTTGCTTTTGCTGAAGTAAAATTTCAGCTGTTGGGAATTGTCTTGTGAATTACTAAGCAAGTATCAAAATATTTCCTATCCTGCAGAGCCTTCTAGAGTTATAGATGTGGTGCATTTTTCTGTTGGAGAGCTCTTGCCTCTCCATGTAATTTTGCTCGTAAGCTCTAATGCTGTCATTTCAGCGTAACAGATTAGATATCTCTTATGCCTGTGAACAATGTCAAGAGAAGAAAAATGCGTTTGAGTGTGTTAATGTAAATGAAGCAGCATATTTCAGACAGTCCTTCATGGACTAATTTGCCCATAATCTCCAGTTCAGAGAGATACCTTTTTATTTTGGTTATTCTTTTTTTTTTTGGTGGTTATTTTTTAATTGAATATAAGGAACTTTTGATACTTTTTTTTTTTAATTTGCAAGGCAACAGTTATTTGCTACTTGATATTTTGATAATTATCAAATGCTTTTTGTACGTTTTTATGGAAACAAATTATTCTGATTTTTTTTTTTTTTTTTGTCTAGATCTGGTGCCAACATTAATTCCTTTCTTTGGCTAACTTTTCATGTTTACTGTCTGTTCCTGAAGGAAGAAACAATAGAAGATGACACACAGACTAAGTTAAAATGTAAACTAAAAATTTTGATTGTACTTGCAGATTGTTCTTCTAAGCCTCAAATAGGGTCATACTATACATCCCAACTTTTACATATCTAATGTTTCTCTGAAGTCCTGGACATTAAACGGCAGGATATCTATGGTTTTTGGTTTTCTGTTCTTTGAAT